AAAAAAAAAAAAATAAAAAAACAAAATAAAAATAGAAAAAATATACAAGTAAAAGAACTAATAGACTTTCGGACAAAGAAATCCGAAGAAAAAAATGTAATTTACCGAGTTATAGACGAGGACAATCTTGCTGCACAATAGCAGCTTCTTTGATGAATTAGATCAATTAATCGTATAGTCTATCGCAATAATATGAATCGGTTATAATTACGCAGTTGTCTTTAGTATATGAATTACATCCGTTATTAAATAATCCGTTAAATCCGTTATTAAATATCTATTCAATTTATGATATATATAAATGTGAAATAATATTATTCTTTTTATCAAAGCAAATTCGTAAGAACTATTAACACGCAATTTTCATCGCGTTTTTTACAATTCATTGAATATTTTATATATTAGATATATATATAATATATATATTATATATATAATATAATATAATATAATATAATATAATATATATATATATATGATATTTTATATGTCAGAACATTATCATTTTTTACACACGCACACACGCGCGCGCGCGCGCGCACACACACACACACACACACACACAAAGCTATATTTTATATTGAGTACAATGTTAATAATTTATTCTTTATTTAGTGTAAATAAGTTCTATATAGAATGAAAGTTCATGTTTTATACAATAGCATAGTTTATAATGCGATAGTTAATCCGTTTTCACTTCTTTTAGTTTTTACGTTTTTACTTTGATTTTAAATAATCTCATTTCTTTTCATCGAATTCTAAAAATATAAAATTTCTTTTAAAGATGACTGCATAATTTAACGATAAATAAATAAATAGACATCTATTTCTAGATGTTCGTTAAAAATGGGCTATATGAGAAATAGTAATCGAAAATAATCGTCCATATCCATATTCAGAATATGTTCTGCGTTGAAAAATGTTTATTCTCGTTAGACTTTCAGCGATAAGAAAGGAGGAAAAAACTTTTTTCTTCTACGGAAAAATATATAACTTCTTTCCTCTTTCGTTATGTGACGAAGATAAACATAATTTCTTCGCTTGAAATCTGGGGTACGGAATTTCTCTGCGCGGACCGTATATTTTGACCCTAGATCCAGTCAATTTTTTTTATGTCCATTTTTCTGTACTTATTACTGTTTTCAAATGAAAAAACTATTTTCGTTAAACTATAAAAATTATATTAAAGCTGAATAGTATCAGAATGATATAATATTTTTGAACGATAATTTTGTTTATATTTAATATTTCTTATTTTTAATATTATTTTATATATGTATAATATTCTTTTGGAACTATCGTATCCAATGTATAAGAGATTTCTGAGCTAATAGTACAATGACTTTTAATGATGTATTAATAATAATAATTCTTTCATATTTTTTTTTTAAATTATTGACGATCAATGTTAAAGAATTTACGAAATCTAGCATATCGTATCTTATATGATATATTTCTGTAAATTTTGTATAATTTTTTACGATCTCGTACATCTGAATGAAATATCTCTAAGAAAATTAACAAAAAGAGAAAAAAAAAAAACGTTGTCTAAACGTTTTTAAATTTTTCGTGACTCGTTTATTATCTTTAAGTTTTATTGCTTATTATTTATCGATTTTAAAATTTTCATTTAATATTTTCTAACAATAGAATTATGATTTATGTGCAAACGCAAAATATTTTGTTAATGTTTTTCTTTTTTTTTTATTATAATAATATTAATTTTGAATTATAGTCATTTGTAATGTTTGATGTAAAAAAAATCGATCTAATTAACATTTTTTATAAACTAAAATAAATTAGAATTATATAGAACGATAAATATAATAAATATATTATATTATATTATAATATATCTATATTATAATATATAATATATTAAAATATAGATATTAAATGCTGCATATCTCTTATTCATAGATGATTTTCAAAATAGTTATTTTCAAAAGTTATCTTACTTTTAGCTCAAAAATCTTTTCATTTAAGTGATGTAGTACAATATTTTATTTCTGTAATTTACTCAAAAGTATAGGGTACAAGAAAATCATGTAGATCGTTTTTTTTTTTGTTTTCAAATTTTGATATATATATTTTTTGTTATTTATATGATTAATTTTACATAAAATATAGAGAGTTTACAATTAATATGATTGAATATGTGAATTCAACGAAAGAGAAGTTTAACTTTAATGAATTTGTAAATAATATATAATTACAATGAACAAAAGAATTCCGATCGATTGATTTTAATTGTTTAAATAGTAAGTTGACTGGTTCTAGGGTCGAATGAGATGTTATTATTAAATTAGTTAGAATTCTGAATTCTGAGAGGAGAAATAACGTTATACACCCTGGAAGCCGGAAAAAAAAAAGTTGTCGGCGATAAGCGGAGCCTTAGCGGAGCCTATTGTGTTATATAGAGAAGACGAAAGCCAAGCAGAATCATTTAATTTCGAATCGTTTCTTACTTACGCTAAGCATAGAAAGAATTCGATAATGATAAATTTGTCATAACTCGTTGTATATGTCCACATATAAAATAAAAATGTGGATATTTACAATGATTTCAGAATACATACGTGCATATATAAATATATAAATATATAAATAGTTTTATTATATTGCAAAGTGAAATAATACAATATTTAGCTACTGTATATAATGTAAAAGAAAAGCTGGTCTTGTAAGATACGGATTAAGGTGTTTTAATGTGCACATAGCCGCGTCATTGTCAATAATCATATTATTACGATTAATAATAATTACAGTTTTTTAAAAAAATGAAGATTATTGAATTCTATTTTATTTAGTCCTCAATTTTTTTTTTTATAAATATACAGAAAATTTTAAAAATTCAATTTAAAATATCCGGTTATATGAATTTATCTTTTTCTTCCAGAGGGCGTTAATGAAAGATTTTAAATTCTTTAGTTGAAGGATCATTATTTTATCTTGTTAATATTTGTAACAAAACAAGAATTTTACAAAAAATTAAAGAATTTATTTAATTCTTACTTATAATAAAATGAAACCTACTCTTGTAGCAGATGAAATGTTTCCAGAAGGAGCTGGATCTTATATCGAATTAGAAGAGGTACATTTTAAAGGTTATGTTTTCTTTGCTGAATTATAATTTTTATTAGTAATTAATAAATTAAATTTGTTTTAATTATATATTGATAAAACTATAAATTTATTAAAAATATTTTAGGTTGGAGGTAGTCGCTTATTAGTTGATCTAACTGCAAGTGAGAAAGCAGTGCATGCGGATTTTTTCAATGGTAAATAAAAATTATACTCTATCATAATTTATCAATAATATAGTTATAAATAATCTTTTCTTTCAGATTTTGATGACTTATATGACGATGATGATCTCGAATAAATTATAATTTTTGTAATAAAAATAGCTATGTTAAAATTAAAATAAAAAAAATAATTTTTAAAATGTGAAAATATATTAAATTCTATAAATATTAAATTTAATATTTTATATATAAAAATTGTAATAATATATTTGTTTTTATAAGTAGGATAAATTGATTCTTCATAAAATTTATTCATATTATTTTCTCATTTTTTCTTTAGTTCAATTTAATGAAGATTGATATATTATTACTAATCATTATTAATATTAGTTATAAAATGTTTTTAAATATAAATGAAACTGATCTCTTTCTAATTTCATTAAAAATTTCATATATATATATATATATATTATATACATATATATAAAATTATAATATTATAACAATATAAACATAAAAATTAAAATGAAAATAATACTTCCTTTAATATTATATTTTTATAAATTATATTTTACTATCACAATATATAATCAGAGTTTGTGAAACAAGCAAAAATTTCTATTAAATAGAAAAGCAATTAACACATAAAGGTAGAGAAAATTGATATACACAGTGCAATAACATTATTACAATTTATTATTTTTAGTTCGAAATTGAATCAGACGTGCGCCCGTATCCAGAATACCATCACGGCATATTAGTTCGGGCGATATTAATTATAAACGTGCCATAAGAAAATGAGTACTGGTCATAATGTCTCGTACACATTAATATCGATATCATTGTCAAGATTATAATTTACAATACATAGATGCTAATCATATAAACCTGTTAAGATGATGCACAATTAAAATAGCACCCCGGGTTTCAGTCGCGCCGCATAATCATGGATCCTGTCGATCGTCGTGCACGAAAATCTCCTTTTTCAGACGAGACGTTCTGAAACTTTTTGAGTTTTATTCTTACACGATTTATTTCTTGCTTTTTTATTTCTCCTTGGCCCCAATCGACATTTAATTCACTTTTTGACCATTCTCATTTTTTCATTAACAGACTTTTATTAACGGTGATAACGAGATTTCATATTTAAGAGATCCCCAATTACCGTTATTCGTTCGCATCTTGATTGCGCATAAAAATGACGTTTTTGAGAGCGATATCGATGACGACAATATCGAATACGCTGCTAACAATGACGAGTATCCTATAAAATATAAATATTATGATATTTATACAATAAAGATTTCTTTATGATTTTTTTATATGTATTTTATATGTATTTAATAAATTATTTACCCTGAGTCCAGCCCCGAGAAAATCGTTCGGAGTGCTAGTTAACTTCGAGATCACTATCGGCTTGGTCATCTTGATCGCTTTCTTCTTCTTCATCTTCTTCCTCGGAATAATACTGCGAGGGTGGCGATAAAACATCTTCTGAAAGTGAAGTATGAGAAGATGAAGGAGGTCGAGAACCTTCCAATTTTGTGTCCAGATCTTCCATTGAGGTACTTGGTCCAGGAATGGTCACTGGTATAAATTTTTCCAAATCACCAGATGCTAATTCTAAAAAGAAATATAAAACAAAATTTATATAGTGATTTAGAAAACTGTTTAATTATAAATAATACATACGTTCCACATATTTTTCCAGAGATTTTGGAACCATTAATTTGGCCTTACGCAAATTTTCTTCAGTGCATTCTCCTTTTTCTAAACCTATTTAAATATTACTTTTTTTAATCAATAAGATTAATAGATATAATTCAATTAAATATTTAAAAATATTAAAATTATATACCGAAAGCTAAACCCATTTGCTTTAAAACTTCAATATCGTCGTGAATTTCAAACTTATCGTTAAAATTGAACAGGTACTCGGTTCTGTAATAAGTATGTTATTAATTGAAATATAATAAATATTAATAACATATAATAATTATTATTTTTTTAAATTACTTGTCATTTGAAATGCTGCAATCTATGACAGTCTTTTTGCTAGTATTCACAATCAGGAATGGCAGCTGAATGGCAGAATTTGGTTTTGGTGGGCCACGCAGACTTTCATTGGCACGATTACGTTCCACTAAATTTTTAAAAGAGATATGCGAGAGAATCAATTGATGTAATTGTTGTGTTTTCATTTTAATTCTCTCGATTTTCTTTTTTTTATCTTTTTCAAGTGCCAAACATTCCTGAAGAGAATTAGTTGGTAGACCTAACCACCTGATTTCTTTCTTTTCTTTTGAAATAATATTCATTGCCATTAAAACATTCAAAGCATCATAAACACGTCTTCTAATATTTTTTTGATCGTATTGCTAAACAAAATATTACATATATTAGTTAGTTCTTTATTTTTTTATAATATAATATAAATAAAAAGAAATAAGAAAAATACCTGATCTGTTAACGAATTTATATGAGCAGGATTAGTAAATTCTCCAACAAGTTCATCTGCAACTTCATTGTACGACGTCGTTCCCTTTTTTTTGACCTTTTCACAAACTTTCATTGAAAAATGACGTAATCCTTTACCTACTTTTTCTGTTTTTCTTCGTTTACTGTTAAAAAGATAAATACATTATAAAAAATTAATATTTCAAAAATATTTAATTTTTTTTGAATTAAATCTTATTTATTCAAATAATTAAAAAAAAATTTATTTATATATATTATACATATATTATCTGCATATAATTATAAATATATAAATTAAAGAAAATATTAATCATATGAATAAAAAAAATATTTTATATATCCTTACTCTGGTACAAAATCACCACCCTCAACATCTTGTCTTTTTCTAGAACCACTATGATCCAATATCGGACTGATATATGTTTTTCCACTTGCATCTTTCACAATTTGTTGATTAGCAGATTGTTGTTGTTGTTGTTGCTGCTGAGATACTATTGCCTGCTTTATATCACTCTATATAAAAGAATAAAAATTATTTATATATTTTTAAAGTTCTTAAGTTTTAAAAAGTTTATTCTTAAATTTCGATTATCTTTTAAAAATATTCAAGAGATAATCATTTAAATAAAGCATACCATTTGTGCAGATGTTAATTGTATAGTCTTGGTCAGTACAGGTTCACCAGCCTTGGTTGTTGCCAATTTTGTATTCTGTAATGGTATTGTAACTAACCCTAAAATAATTATAAAACATTGTATTATTATTTTTTATTTTAAAATTAAATGATATATGAGAAGATTTAAAAAAAATATTTGTTTTATCACAAAAAATATATAAAAGAATATATAAAATAGAAATAAATAAAAATAATAAATAAATAAAAAATAATTATTATAACTTATATAATGTATAACTTACTTTGACCTGGAGTTGAAGGACTTTGCAGACTGATAGTTCTAAGAACTTGTGCGTTAGATGACAAAACCTAAATCAAAAAAACATATTATTGAATTCAATAGTAAAACAAATAGTTAAATTATCATTATAAAAGATTGTAATCAAAAGAGGTTCAAATAATAGGTTAAAATTCTTATAAACATATTATACCTGAGATTCTTGGCTCGGAGTCTTAAAGACTTTAAGGCCACCTGCATTTGTTGTACTGACGATACCGCCCAATGCTTTATTAGCTGTACTCTGTACTACTTTTATTACTTGTGGATGACCTAAAAAAAATATTAAGTTTTATAGTATTGTTTTAATAATTTAATAAACAAATATATAATATATTTATTTTAATATTTTAATTTTTTTATAAATTCAATAAAAAAATAAGATTTTTTAATATACATAATAAATTCCACAAATTTATAATACAAAGACAATATAACATCAATAACAACTTATAAAAAATTTAGATATTTGTTAAATTTAAACATTAAATGTCAATATACTATATAATAAAGATATTTCAAAATATTTATTTTAATTAAATTATTTTAAATTAAATAAATAAGTAAACAAAATTTTTGTTTCAATAAAAGTATTAGAAAATAAAAGTGATTTTTTTGTATAAGCAATCAAACAAATAAATATATACATTTTTTAACAACTTAAGATAAAATAACTTTAAAACAAATTATTTTTATTTACCTAATAATAGAAAAGAAAATAAAAACATTTTTCCACACATTTAATGCAAATAGCTTATAAAGAAATAGAGCATAGGATTAACATGAATATGAAAAAAAAAGAGCCAACATAGACTCATAATTAATAAAAGTTAAACAAAAAATAATAGAAACATAAGCATGAATCCAGGAACAAGACAACAATATTAAAACTGAGTAATCTTAAGGAAAATGAAAGAAAATTAAGACATTATCATCGAAGTAAGGCATGCTGATAATTGGCGCGCACTCGGCATACTCACCGTTCGCGTCATGTATGAGAAAGTTCATCGTTTTGTTTTGTTGCGTCATCCTCGAGGTTAGAATTCCGTCCCGGCGTCACCGACGATCACGACGATCGACCGAATGCCGAGTGAAAATAAAAAGATCATAGGTACACTCGCTAATCTTGGCTCGGTCTATCACCAAAATGGCGACTATGATATAGAACCATTTGAGAACAGAATTTAACGATATACCGACCAAAAAACGTCTTATTACACGCACAAAAGTAAAATTCAGCCGTTTTTTTATCGTACTAATATAACCATTTTAAGAAAACGTTCATTTACTTGCAAAAATATCACACGAAAATCTAGCTTCCGCGTGCACAGTACAGAATAGAGACGAGCTTGGCGGCACGACAAAGTTAAACAGCTGATTGGTTACCTTCTTAGTCACGTGGTCCCTTCTGTTCCACGTTTATGGGCACTGTAATCTCTGTAAGAAAAACCTGTTTCTAGTGTTATAACATGCCAAACATTACTATCGGGATTTTATTTTTAATATTGGTAATATCTACTTGTCAATTGGTCCAATAAATAATATAAATGTAAAGATTAATAAATCTTTACAAGAAAAATGCATAATGCATCACAATTTATAATATTATAATATTATAAATTATACATATAATTTAATTTAATTTAAATAATTATAATTTTATATATTTTATAATGATTTTTATATTCATAGACATGATAAT